GGTGATGTCAGCATAGGATTACGCGAAGAAACGGTAAGTGAGCCAGAGGTGGCAGAATATCGGTTTGCTGGCATAAAATGAGCTGGTGAAGAGAACTTACAACGGGGCTGCCATGAGTCCTCACCTAGGGTGGTCTCCATATTTTTTTTGTTTTCTTATTTACTGGAGAGTCAGTTAGCTACTGAAGCTTGACATCTGAACGCCACTATCCACAATGTGCAATCGCGGGTTTGTACTCAAGAAAGTATGGTGCACTCTCTAATCAGGTGACACACACCACACTGCCTTACTTGGCTTGCACCCTGAAAAACCTGCAGTCATTTAACGAGATATCACGGACTAAGACAATGCCAAGCGTTGGAACTGAAGTGTTCCAGCATAATAAAGTAGAAAAGACGAGTGAAGAGCTCAGAAACATAAAAGCACATGATCGGCTGTACTTCTTGGCACAAATCAAGTGCCCATTTTGCTCCGTAGGATTCAACTGGAACATGGAATTTATCATCAAACAATCCAAGAGAAGACAATTTAATAATATATGAACAAAGTTAAAAAAAGCAAGACATTCGATCACAATTATATTCTCCGACAAAGTAACACCGCGATGACTCGCTCTACACCATGTCACCAAACACTTAAGGAGTAAAGTGTTAAAAGATTTGATAGAAAGTCAGATATGCTACCACCAATCGTTATCATTAAGAATGGAATCACAGTCACCAGATCCCAAAACCGCAAAAAAATAACGGCTGGGCATTCACAATAGATTTATCTAGAGCATCACTCTTATTACGGATGGTCTCCGCTCATTTGTGCCTTATCCTTGTTCGCTTCTACCTTGCCAAATAATAAATAACGAAGAAGACGAATAGAGCGAACAACATCAAATAACACATCAGACTCTTGCCTGAAAAGTAGAAATAAAAAAGAAGAATGGTCACTGGATCTGAGTAATCAGTCCAAAAGTTTATTGTATTGAGGAGCAGGGTCATTTGGCAGCACACAAAGCAAATAGTTCACTGTCTTCTGACTATGGGGACTGTTCAACCATCGAAAACACAATCTGCGTTCCAACAACCATTTCAACGTCAATTTAATCTGTGACAGCCCAACATAGTGCAGCATACAACGCAGTTTCACTTCCACTTGATTCAAAATTCCATTCGATACTGTTCATGCACAGTAACCGCCCAAAATCTCTCATCTGCAGCTACATAGCTCATTCTATTATCGAAAGTATTAACAATGGATATTTTCGAAGGCTTAAGCATATTGAAAATCTGTCATAGCTACAACATTGAGCTGCGAGATCAGCTACCTCTTGCCTTCCAAGGACATCAAAGGGAGACTTTTGCCAGTAAAAAAATGTTGTATGCTTTAGATGAACGATGTGGCTCGAGGAGAACATTTAGCGACAAAAATCTATCAAGACGGGGTGACATTCCCAACTAGATGGTCGTCTCAAATGCTCTGGCAACATGAGTGTTTGGGTTAGGTAGCCCATGCCTAGCTCCTTTGAGCGCAAGTCGCTCATGTGTTACAAAATAGCAACTTTTTAATCTTAGGCTGCGCTCATACTTGGCGTTAGCGTTCTGAGGCCACCGGCATGCGTCTTGACTTTTGAATGACTGGGAAAGTATAGATATAGATCAAGCTTTTTGAGCGTTTCGCGGGTGTATTTGACCGGACAGTCGCTGAAAACGCTGGCTTACGCTCAAAACGCTGGCTTAGGTCGATACCTATACTTTCCTAGTTGCCCAAAATGCTGCCACACGCTCGAAACGCTGACGCAAAGTATGAACACACTCTTACGTGTAACTGCAGACATTGTACTAGTTTTGCAACTATGGTAATCTCCAGATAGCTATGAATACTTGACAAGTGAGTCCCAACTTTAGATGGATTCAATAGTGGACTCACTTATCAAACTTGTAGGGCATACAGGAACCAAGTGACATTAACAGCTCATAAGAACCGTAAAAAAAGGGTAATGAAACGATGAACCGACCTCCTGCCTTGCTAACAATACCAAGACGCCTCATTGTAGATGATAACAATCCTTTTGAGGCGTCAAAATCATCATCCATGCTATTTAGTAAAGCGATCTGTCTCTGAACATCTTCTCTCGATTGATAGGTAACCTTAATACAAAGAAGATCTCGATTGCACTACTTTTTATTATATCGAAGTTTTATCACGATTGGAATCCACCATAGTCAAGAGTGTGAAGGGGGATGCGTTGGTAAGCCACCCCAATGATACTCCCCAAAAGGCTTTCGAATTATTCCGCGTTCAACAACCTCGGGGATTCGCGACGGGGCATTTTGCGCTTCCAAAGTTTCCCTTGGTCGGGTTTATTGGTTTTCAAGGGTTAAAAGGTAATGCCTACGAACTTTGACTAGTATTACTTCACGGCCTCAAAAGATTTCACAAAGCTTTGCTTGATGACCTAACACGACAATGAGAACAAGCAAACTAGTATGGCGTCCCCCTCCCCGCGCCTGGAACTGATGCTTAGCGCACGGGTACATTACTTTGCTTTGATTATTATATCGGTAATATAGCTAAACAGTGTAATAAAAACAAGAATATGCCTAGGAGAGGAACATCAGATTCCGATGAACTGACATCAAGAGCAAGGGGAAGTGGTTTGGGGTGCGACAGGGAGGGGCAGGTTTTGCAACTCTGAAGGACAGTCGCCGTATCGGTATCTACTTATGCAAAAGCCGAGCAGTCAAAAAAAGAAGAGTGAGATTAGCTTCTACTTCACGTAAAATGGTTGGACTGAAAAAAAACTACTTCATAAAGTCGTATTACCTTTTTGAGTGCCGCAACCTTCGTCGACAATTCATCAACTAGACTGTCATTATGACGTTCAAGATAACTTCCATCATGCGTGGTACTAGTACTTGGTCCTTAATAAGCAACGATTACAAATATCACAGAAATTACTGGAAGTCAAGTTCGAAAACAAGACATCCTTCTCGTACCCGCGGAATGGCCAGGCTCAAGGATTGAGGCGCCGGTACGCGGAAAGAGATCAGTAACACGATCTAAAATAGAAAAAGTTTTAGATGACACGTTAGATAAAAGAACCGCAAAGTGGAAGAATAGCGAACATATTTCGAATAACCTTTGCCAGAGAGGATGGCAATTTGCTAGACTGATTGATAAGAAACAAAAACAACGCAGCCATTATACCTATTTTTTTTTTTTTTCGCAAAACGATGCGCGGGAAGTGCATTGTACAAACGGACGATTTACTTACTTTTGGTGCTAGTTCGTGTGAGACAAGACTCGCTAAGCATGTCAATCTGACAGCTTATCTCATCGATAGGTGTGTTAGCCTTGATGAAGGAAGAAATATGGCGTGGCGTCAGCCCCTCCTCCCCCATCTGGAAGCGGGGAAGGCGACAAAAGCTAAAAGAAAACGTCATGGTCGATATGGATACAGTCTTTTTACTATGCATCGCTTCAACATCGAGGTGAACAGACTTTGGCGACCACGCCAAAACTAATTCCAGCCTGAACGCGTGACCTTCATCCGGCCTGCGACAAGTCAAGTTCTTTGGAACACACTATATGATGCGTCACCCAAGGATCTGTTACCTAATCCCATATAACCACTGCAACCATGAACTGCGACATGAAAGAAGAAAATATGCTATTGCTGGCGAAGCAATGTCATTGCCAATATCTATCCGGAACCCTTTAGTTGTTGAAGTGAAATATTCTCGAAGGCGAGAAAGTGATTAAATACAAGAAAGAGATTGCAGTATGAAAGATAAGGATGCGAACACTTTTCGAGTAGTTCAAACATGCGTCCTATCCTGCAACATATGTTTTTTGTATACCGAATCTATTGAGAGAGCTTAATTCGAACTGAAACGCACATCCACATTGTACGACAGACGCCTGTGATGGAGTCATTTTAAGAGTATTCGAGAACGAGGAACCCAGCAATCATGAGGACAGTAGCAGAAAACAACATGATACAAACAGTCACAAGGTAAAACTGTCTGGAGTGAAAATAAAGTGCTCTAATAACAAACACGTCATCCTACTCACCCGACCTTTAAAGGAATAGAGACAACTGATTAATTTCCTCTCCATCTCTTCCTCGTAGGTAAGATGCAGACAACAGGCGTGGAACTCTCAATGCTAAGTACTTGGTGTGTATGGAGCTTATTTAAGCTCATTCAATCTAATGAACCCTCTCCTAAAACCCTAATTATCACCGCGTCTATCGAAATTCTTAGTTTCCACACGTGTACGTCAAAGCAACTTCGTACGATCTTTGGAACTCTTTCTCTCAGCAGTAGGTAACAGAGATGGATGGCGAAACGGTCCTCGTGTAATTAGTGAGCAAATAACTGGTTGTCCATATTCAGTTCGCGTAAGTTCACCATGATCATATGATAATGTTCAGAAGTCGTCCATGACTTTAAATTTATTCACACAGTATGTTAGTCCATTCACTATATTCTCTATCCGTTTTTAAATAAAATGCATCTTACCCTGGAATCACGTTTTCCTCTTCAATGAAAAAATAAGAATCTTCTGCAATTGTTGCGTTTTTGGGACTGACAATAACCCCAAATCTCTGCTGCATTCATTAGTCTTTCATCTTGTTCGCCCAGTTTTATTTTATCTCATTTGTTTTTATGTTATATATCATTTTATTATCTCCATTTACATTTATTCTTTATTCTGTCAAGATTTAATGAGACCTGTTTAGGTTCATGCATAAGTAACGAATAAGTGGCTAAAACACCACGTATAACCGTTTTCTAGAACAATCCGATTCCATCTCCCTCTACTTTTCGGCAAAGTACTCTCGATGTGTTCTTGTATCACTTCTTGTTTTTGTTTCTGCTCTACTGACCATGAGCCGGTTTTAACCTAGTTAAAATTATGCTCCACCTGGGGCGTTTTTGCTCTGAACTACGAACAGGCAGTATCGCATATTTTCTTTAGTTGTCTTATACACACTTGACCCTTTTGTTTGGTCTTGGCCATAATTAAATGGAAGGGGTTCAACCTCCATGAAAAAAATCGACTTTAGTCAACTAATAATTCCACTATTTTCCGATCATGCCAATTTTAAACCTTCTTCTTGCCACAAGGGCAGATTTGGATGAAAATTCGTTTTATAAGTGCTATAGACCTTCCTAAAACACTTGTAAATACCTTTACATCAGCGTGTCCTACACTGCCGTGGCGGCACTCAAGCGCCGAAAATTCCGCTAGAAGAGCCATCGTTGAAAGTTTAGCCGTGTTGGTCCGGGAATAAGTTTTCTCTTCCTGAACACAAATAGGGGGTACCAACAAAGATAAGAGAGGAGGAACGAGGATAACGTGACGGCGTAGCCTGTTGCGCTTGTTTGTACCCTTCCTCTGAGATATTGGCCCTTTTCTGTTAAGGCTGAGCTAACCAGAAAGGGTACTGTCTCGTCTGGCCGTGTTTCTCTAACTGCACTAGCACAAACAAGCTTGGCATGAAATACCATGATAGAGATAACAGCAGAGAGCGGAGGTTTTCTGGAAGATGTCCCCTTTAGGGGAAATACAGCTTACAGCCCCTCGACTCCGCGCTACCGCAAGGCCATATTCAGAACAAACATGCAGTGCCTTGGACTGTAAAGCGGGCTGTTAGCGGTTTCGAGCCAGACGAAAGTCATATTCGAAATCAGTACACCAAATAACCTCGGTGCGCAAGTTTAAACCGCATTTGTTGAGAAAGGTGCTGGTGCCAACGTGGCACCAAATGGCGTCAGCACCGAAGACTTATGCGATAGTCGTGAGCAGGGCAAAGTTTCAGCAAAAGGCACTATCCAACCATTACTACCCCAAAAAACTGAAAAAAAATCGCTGAAACTGTCGTTATGCGATGCCCTGGTCACGATCGTGACATTCATATTTAGCCCTGGCGCTATTGTCCCAGTTTGGCGCCACACCATTTTTCACCAAAATTGGTTAAAACTTGCAAAGTAGGGTTGTTTGATGCCCTGATCACCAATATGGCTCACATCTTTGACATCAGCGCCATTTGGTGCTCCGCTGAGCCTGAGTCTGGGAGAAGGAGTGTATTCCTTCAGGCCAGGCTCAGCCTTAGCAGATGCAGGTCGCAGTGCCCTCCATCAGCGCCGGTGCCGAAAATGGATGTCATGTTTGTAATTCAAGATGTTAAATAAAGCCCGTATACAAGTTATCATCGGTTTTGGTAATCGATGGTTTTTGGCGCCGGCGCTTGTGGCGCAGGCGCTAGGCGGTCCGGGCCAAACGGATTTGATACTCATGTACTAACCTAGTGGCAATTTCAACGAATTTGGTGATTTATAATGTAGGGCATTTTATTGATTTATAATGCGGAAAATTGGGGCAGTAATAGTTGAGCAGGGCCAATACAGTACTACAATTATGGGGAGAAATTTCGTTGAAAAAAGCTTGAATTCTAGTGCTCCATTTCGCACACTATGCTCTTCATCTAAGAATTCAATTCGCTCGATGTGTGTTCTCATAAAGAGAAGTTGTATTGTCTATTGGGGAAGCATGACGGCAAACCGGTTCCAGACTTGCGCTTGTGTCATTGCTTTTGTCTCACGTTAACCGCCAGCTGTTTTCGTCACACATCACTATGAAGAAATAGATTATTTAGGAAACCCTATGCGTTCCTGACCGACACAACCATGGTGTACATAGACGCAAGTGAGTTATTTCATTATCTAATAATATCTAGATTTGCATTTATTACAAAGTAGAGGTTTTGTGTTATGGAAAAATTTGCTTCTGATCAATGGGAACATTTCTTCTTGAGCGGATGGGACCGCGGTCCTCTGAAGACGATGACTGAGTCGAAACGTTTGACCATTTATTAAATATTTGACCTAACAAGTCGTTAGGCACAAAACGATTGAATCACTTATAGTAACTAAGTGGCTTAATTTCGCAGGCAGCGTTCGTACTTTGCGATTTGAGCCGACCGCGCTCGTCTGTTAGTCACTGGACCGCTGCGAACGGCCAAAAGTAGTTTTCTCATGACCATAATTGCGGTCGCAGCGGTTCAGCTTATCGACGGAACGCGCTCGGGTGCGTGAAGTGCTTGAATAGAGAATGACTGCAGCTGCTGAGTATGGATGCGTCCTTGAAGGCAAACGCCTTCATCTTTACCATAAGGTTTTAAGTGAATCAGAAAACACATTCCGCAGTTGCAGTTGGATCCAAACATGTGTCCGTAGATACTTATTTACCTGCAAATGAAGAAAAAAAGTGCAAAATCGTAAGAACGCTCTGAACGGGACTTCAGAATAGAAGAAGCGTACGCGAGACATTGTCGCGCAACTGGGAGACTAAAGACAGTGAGACGACAGACAAGGTCTTGGCTTCCGTACGGGATGGGGCAATTACGCGCTTATCACCAGCACCCACTAAGATGATCAAATTCTAAAACTGTATCAGTAAGTGTTTCAATAGTCTTGTGCCTTACGAGGTTGTTAGGTGGAACATTCATTAATATGGCCTAATCGTCGTCTTCAGAGGCCTGAATGCATGACACGACGTCGGAACCGCTAGAGTGGACGAGGTGCTTGGTGGGGTAGGTTGCGAATTAATGCTGGAAATACATTGAGGCCTCTGAAGACGACGATCAAGTCGAAGCCATAATAAAATAATAAATGTTCCACCTAACAACCTTGTAAGGCACAAGAATATTGAAACACTACATGCCGAGGTTACAGGAGAGAAAAGCTGGATATTACTTTGA